CTTTGTGCATGACACAAGTAATTTTTCCAACAATTGTTTACAGACAGAATATTCATTATAATACATTCATTTATAATTCACTGTATCACAATTCCAGTGGGTCAGAAGTTAATGGCACCTGTTTGAACTTGTTATCAGTATAAAAGACACCTGTCCACAACCTCAAACAGTCACACTCCAAACTCCACTATGGCCAAGACCAAAGAGCTGTCAAAGGACACCAGAAACAAAATTGTAGACCTGCACCAGGCTGGGAAGACTGAATCTGCAATAGGTAAGCAGCTTGGTTTGAAGAAATCAACTGTGGGAGCAATTATTAGGAAATGGAAGACATACAAGAATACTGATAATCTTCCTCGATCTGTGGCTCCACGCAAGATCTCACCCCGGGGGGTCAAAATGATCACAAGAACGGTGAGCAAAAATCCCAGAACCACACAGGGGGACCTAGTGAATGACCTGCAGAGAGCTGGGACCAAAGTAACAAAGCCTACCATCAGTAACACACTACGCCGCCAGGGACTCAAATCCTGCAGTGCCAGACGTGTCCCCCTGCTTAAGCCAGTACATGTCCAGGCCCGTCTGAAGTTTGCTAGAGTGCATTTGGATGATCCAGAAGAGGATTGGGAGAATGTCATATGGTCAGATGAAACCAAAATATAACTTTTTGGTAAAAACTCAACTCGTCGTGTTTGGAGGAAAAAGATTGCTGAGTTGCATCCAAAGAACACCATACCTACTGTGAAGCATGGGGGTGGAAACATCATGCTTTGGGGCTGTTTTTCTGCAAAGGGACCAGGACGACTGATGCGTGTAAAGGAAAGAATGAATGGGGCCATGTATCGTGAGATTTTGAGTGAAAACCTCCTTCCATCAGCAAGGGCATTAAAGATGAAACGTGGCTGGGTCTTTCAGCATGACAATGATCCCAAACACACCGCCCGGGCAACGAAGAAGTGGCTTCGTAAGAAGCATTTCAAGGTCCTGGAGTGACCTAGCCAGTCTCCAGATCTCAACCCCATAGAAAATATATTTAGTGTGTAAAATGTTGCCTGCATGTGCATGGTGTGTGTGTGTGTGTGTGTGTGTGTATACTTTGGATGTGTTTGACTTCAGTAACCTTTATCTAAACCAGGAAGTCCCCATTAAGATAATAATCTATTTTCTATTTTCTAGTTATTACCCAAGTGGTATAGCAGATGATCTTACTGAGATTGAGATTCATGTGACTACAGAAGGCCTATAAGGTCACCCTTTCAAAGGAGGCCCACCTATCGTTTATGAATTAATGAATCTATTCTGCTATGTTTATGAGGGCATTATGCATTGACAATTAAAAGCTATAGTGAGGCTAAGTCTGAGCCAAAATGGCCCCTCTTTCCATTACCATACTACTTTTTACCAGGGCCATTAGGGCTCCGGTCAAAAACTAGTGCACTACGTACAGTTGAAGTCGGAAGTTTACATACACTTAGGTTGGAGTCATTAAAACTTGTTTTTCAACCACTCCACAGATTTCTTGTTAACAAACTATAGTTTTGGCAAGTCGGTTAGGACATCTACTTTGTGCATGACACAAGTAATTTTTCCAACAATTGTTTACAGACAGAATATTCATTATAATACATTCATTTATAATTCACTGTATCACAATTCCAGTGGGTCAGAAGTTTACATACACTACCTTGACTGTGCCTTTAAACAGCTTGGAAAATTCCAGAAAATTATGTCATGGCTTTAGAAGCTTCTGATATGCTAATTGACATAATTTGAGTCAATTGGAGGTGTACCTGTGGATGTATTTCAAGGCCTACCTTCAAACCCAGTGCGTCTTTGCTTGACATCATGGGAAAATAAAAATAAATCAGCCTTGGAAGCAATTTCCAAACGCCTGAAGGTACCACGTTAATCTGTACAAACAATAGTACGCAAGTATAAACACCATGGGACCATGCAGCCATCATACCGCTCAGGAAGGAGACGCGTTCTGTCTCCTAGAGATGAACGTACTTTGGTGCGAAAAGTTCAAATCAATCCCAGAACAACAGCGATGGACCTTGTTAAGATACTGGAGGAAACAGGTACAATAGTATCTATATCCACAGTAAAACAAGTCCTGTATCGACATTACCTGAAAGGCCGCTCAGCAAGGAAGAAGCCACTGCTCCAAAACCACCATAAAAATTGAGATGATTCAGAGATCGAGGCTGAGGGAGGCAGATCATAAACAAACAAACATACAATACAACCTACAGTGCCTTCGGAAAATACTCAGAACCGTTGACCTATTCCACATTTTGTTACGTTACAGCCTTATTCTAAAATTGGAATATCTGAAAATCTCAAATCTACACACAATACCCCATAATGACAATGCAAAAACAGGTTATTCGAAATGTTTGCTAATTTATTAAATACAAAATATTAAATATCACATTTATAAAAGTAATTTACTCAGTACTTTGTTGAAGCACCTTTGGCAGCGATTACAGGAATGAGTCTTCTTGGGTATGACGCTACAAGCTTGGCACACCTGTATTTGGGAAGTTTCTCCCATTCTTCTCTGCAGATCCTCTCAAGCTCTGTAAGGTTGGATGGGGAGCGTTGCTGCACTGCTATTTTCAGGTCTCTCCAGAGATGTTCGATCGGGTTCAAGTCCGGGCTCTGGCTGAGCCACTCAAGAACATTCAGAGACTTGTCCTGAAGCCACTCCTGCATTGTCTTGGCTGTGTGTTTAGGGTCATTGTCCCATTGGAAGGTGAACCTTCGCCCCAGTCTGAGGTTTTCATCAAGGATCTCTCTGTACTTTGCTCCGTTCATTTTTGCCTCGATCTTGACTAGTCTTCCAGTCCCTGCTGCTGAAAAACATCCCCACAGCATGATGCTGCCACCACTGTGCTTCACCGTAGGAATCGTGCCAGGTTTCCTCCAGAAGTGACGCTTGGCATTCAGGCCAAAGAGTTCAATCTTGGTTTCATCAGACCAGAGTATCTTGTTTCTTATGGTCTGGGAGTCTTTAGGTGCCTTTTGGCAAACTCCAAACGGGCTGTCATGTGCCTTTTACTGAGGAGTGGCTTCCATCTGGCCACTCTATCATAAAGGCCTGATTGGTGGAGTGCTGCAGAGAATGTTGTCCTTCTGCAAGGTTCTTCCATCTCCACAGAGGAACTCTAGAGCTCTGACAGAGTGACCATTGGGTTCTTGGTCACCTTCCTGACCAAGGCCCTTCTCCCCCGATTGCTCGGATTGGCTGGGCGGCCAGCTCTAGGAAGAGTCTTGGTGGTTCCAAACTTCTTCCATTTAAGAATGATGGAGGCCACTGTGTTCTTGGGGACCTTCAATGCTGCAGATATTTTTTGGTACCCTTCCCCAGATCTGTGCCTCTACACAATCCTGTCTCGAAACTCTACGGACAATTCCTTCGACCTCATGGCTTGGTTTCTGCTCTGACATGCACTGTCAACTGTGGGACCTTATATCGACAGGTGTGTGCCTTTCCAAATCATGTCCAATCAATTGAATTTACCACAGGTGGACTCCAATCAAGTTGTTGAAACATCTCCAGGGGAATCAATGGAAACAGGATTCACCTCAGCTCAATTTCGATTCTCATAAGAAAGGGTTGGAATACTTATGTAAATAAGTTTTTCTGTTTTTGATATTTAATAAATGTGCAAACATTTCTAATAACCTGTTTTCGCTTTGTTATTATTGGGTATTGTGTGTAGATTGCTGAGGATGTTTTTTGATTTAATCCATTTTAGAATTAGGCTGTAACGTAACAAAATGTGGAAAAAGTCAAGGGGTCTGAATAGTTTCCAAAGGCACTGTATAACTGAAGAAATTCACAGGAATGGCTATAATTGCCATGGTAAACCAAATGATCTTGCTTTCTAAGATGAGGTTGTACAGTACACTGTTCTGGATGGTGATGTAGTTTTAGAGTTGGCTTAGATACTGTATTTTTTATATAAATTATTTTGCATCAAAGAAAATGGGTCAGACAGGGTGTGTGGGAGAGCGGGGGGATATCCGTTTGGAGAGAGAATGTAACAAGTTTGATAACTATTCAGCTAACAAACTGTGGGCTGAGAGTGCTGCATATAGCACACAAATCGAGTCAAAATCAAATCCACTGTTATCCATTTCCTTGATCTGTACTGTACTCAGTTCCAACTACATTCAGAAACTGTTTCAACTCTCCAAATTTAGGACATATTTGGTTGGAGTGCTGATGTTAAATGCATTTTTTAAAATATATATTGCACTCAACATTGTGCAATTACATTTTCTATGTAATGCTCTTCTGAAACAAGTGAAAATGAAAACATCTTCTACATTTTCTCACACTCTGTATATGTTCTGGCTTATTGTATCATTGAAAGCATTGTATGAGAAAAGCACCACTGTGCGTCGGTGTGCGTGCGTGTGTGTGTGTGTGTGTGTGTGTATGAGCGTGTGTGTGTAAGAAAAGTACCACTGCATCTTTCCAAGTGTCTTAGGTGTAAGGGGGTGAGAGTAGGGGTATAGTGATGGGGTGACAGTAGGGGGGTGAGGGGGAGTGAATACCTTTCTTCCTTGCTGCATTTGGGATTGGTATCAGTGATATCCAAGCTTTTACTGAACACAGTCTTACTACACAGCGACGGGAGACAGTGTGAATAACCAGTCAGTGTGTGTGTGTGTGTGTGTGTGTGTGTGTGTGTGTGTGCGCGTGTGTGTGAGCATGCTTGTGTGCATGTTTGTGTGTCAGACCACAACACTGCTCACTGACATAACTAGCCCTGTTGTCTGCTGTCTTACCACTAACCCCACTACACTCTGAACACTGTATTATCTTGTCAATCTAGAGCATAAGACAAATGGTGAATGGATTGCCCTGGTAGAATATCCAAAATATAGAAGAGTGGAGGTGGTAAGAGACTAATGGTGTCTCGATGGTGCCATGCAAAGTTGATGGGTGCTGGTGTGATGGGATGGGATAGAGAAACATGGGGTTAATAGTCAAATGGTGTGTGTGCGTGTGTGTGGGTGTGGTTGTGTGTGTACCTCTGTTCCTGTGTGTTTGTGTACCTCTGTCCGTGCTGTGTCATGTCGATGGCCCTCCTGGCGGGTACGGGGGAGCCTCCGTCTGTGACACTCAGCACCTCCATAGAGTTCCTCTCCGGTCTCCTCTTGCCATGGCGGTTCAGCATGGGGGAGTCCACACGCTTCCTGGGGGGGTCTGAGGATAGGAGGGGGAGTGAGACAGAGAGAGAGAGACAGAGAGAGAGAGAGAGAGAGAGAGACAGAGAGAGAGAGAGAGACAGAGAGAGAGAGAGAGAGAGAGAGAGAGAGAGAGAGAGAGAGAGAGAGAGAGAGAGAGAGAGAGAGAGAGAGAGAGTCAGCCCACTGTCACCCCTATCAGACCACAGCAAAATCACAGTCTACTTGAACAGAGCAATACACAATCATGAGGCATCAAAGCCAAAGGAACTGAATAATATTAAGAAATGCTATGGATGGAAGGAAAGTAGTGTCGAAACCTACCAAAAAACAATTAGGCAACAACAAATTCAATCCCTTTTAGACAACTTCCTGGACAAAACGTTCCACTGTAATGGTGAAGGTGTAAACTTGGCAGTAGAAAAACGAAACTATATATTTGACCTCTCAGCTTCCCTATCAAATCTAAAAATCTCTAACAGAAAACCGAAGAAAAGTAACAACAGTGACAAATGGTTTGATGAAGAATGCAAAAACCTAAGAAAGAAATTCAGAAACCTATCCAACCAAAAACATAGAGACCCAGAAAACCTGAGCCTACGCCTTCACTATGGTGAATCACTAAAACAATACAGAAATACACTACGGGAAAAAAAAGCAACAGCATGTCAGAAATCAGCTCAATGTAATTGAATAATACATAGACTCTAACCACTTCTGGGAAAATTGGAAAACACTAAACAAACAACATTACGAAGAGCTATCTATCCAAAACGGAGATGTATGGGTAAACCACTTCTCCAATCTTTTTGGCCCTATAACAAAGAACAAACAGCAAAAACATATACACGATCAAATGCAAATCTTATAATCAACTACTAAAGACTACCAGAACCCACTGGATTCTACAATTACATTGAATGGAAAATGAAAATACAAACCCGCCAACCCAAAAAGGCCTGTGGTGTTGATGGTATCCTCAATGAAATGATAAAATATACAGACCACAAATTCCAATTGGCTATACTTAAACTCTTTAACATCGTCTTTAGCTCTGGCACCTTCTCCAATATTTGGAACCAAGGACTGATCACCACAATCCACAAAAGTGGAGACAAATTTGACACCAATAACTACCGTGGGATATGCGTCAACAGCAACCTCGGGAAAATCATCTGCATTATCATTAACAGCAGACTAGTTCATTTCCTCAGTGAAAACAATGTACTGAGCAAATGTCAAATTGGCTTTTTACCAAATTACCGTACGACAGACCACGTATTCACCCTGCACACCCTAAATGACAAACAAACAAAACAAAACAAAGGCAACGTTTTCTCATGCTTTGTTGATTTCAAAAAAGCTTTTGACTCAATTTGGCATGAGGGTCTGCTATACAAATTGATGTAAAAGTGGTGTTGGGGGAAAAACATACAACATTATAAAATCCATGTACAAAAACAACAAGTGTGCAGTTAAAATTGGCAAAAAACACACACATTTCTTTCCACAGGGCCGTGGGGTGAGACAGGGATGCAGTTTAAGCCCCACCCTCTTCAACATATATATCAACGAATTTGCGAGGGCACTAGAACAGTCTGCAGCACCTGGCCTCACCCTACTAGAATCTGAAGTCAAATGTCTACTGTTTTCTGATGATCTGGTGCTTCTGTCACCAACCAAGGAGGACCTACAGAAGCACCTAGATCTTCTGCACAGATTCTGTCAGACCTGGGCCCTGACAGTAAGTCTTAGTAAGACAAAAATAATGGTGTTACAAAAAAGGTCCAGTTGCCAGGACCACAAATACAAATTCCATCTAGACACCGTTGCCCTAGAGCACACAAACAACTATACATACCTCGGCCTAAACATTAGCGCCACAGGTAACTTCCACAAAGCTGTGAACGATCTGAGAGACAAGGCAAGAAGGGCCTTCTATGCCATCAAAAGGAACATACAATTTGACATACCAATTAGGATCTGGCAAAAAATACGTGAATCAGTTATAGAACCCATGAATCAGTCACCAACCAAGAATTCACAAAATGGGACAAACACCAAACTCAGACTCTGCATGCAGAATTCTGCCAAAATATCCTCTGTGTACAACGAAAAACACCAAATAATGCATGCAGAGCAGAATTAGGCCGATACCTGCTAATTATCAAAATCCAAAAAAGAGCCGTTAACTTCTATAACCACTTAAAAGGAAGCAATTCCCAAACCTTCCATAACAAAGCCATCACCTACAGAGAGATGAACTTGGAGAATAGTCCCCTAATTAACCTGGTCCTGGGGCTCTGTTCACAAACACAAACAGACCCCACAGAGCCCCAGGACAACAACAACAACACAATTAGACCCAAACAATCATGAAAAAACTAAAAGATAATTAATTGACATATTGGAAAGAATTAACAAGAAAACAGAGCAAACTAGAATGCTATTTGGCTCTAAACAGAGAGTACACAGTGGCAGAATACCTGACCACTGTGACTGACCCAAACTTAAGGAAACCTTTGACTATGTACAGCCTCAGTGAGCGTAGCCTTGCTATTGAGAAAGCCCGCTGTAGGCAGACCTGGCTCTCAAGAGAAGACAGACTATGTGCACACTGCCCACAAAATGAAGTGGAAACTGAGCTGCACTTCCTAACCTCCTGACCATATTAGAGACACATATTTCCCTCAGATTACAGAGATCCACAAAGAATTCAAAAACAAACCCAATTTTGATAAACTCCCTTATCTACTGGGTGAAAAACCACAGTGTGCCATCACAGCTGCAAGATTTGTGACCTGTTGCCACAAGAAAAGGGCAACCAGTGAAGAACGAACACCATTGTAAATACAACCCATATTTATGTTTATTTATTTTCCCTTTTGTACTTTGACTATTTGCACATTGTTACCACACTGTATGTATACATAATATGACATTTGAAATGTCTTTATTCTTTTGGAACTTCTGAGTGTAATGTTTACTGTTAATATTTATAGTTTTTCACTTTTGTTTACTATCTACTTCACTTGCTTTGGCAATGTTAACATACATTTCCCATGCCAATAAAGTCCTTAAATTGAATTGAATTGAATTGAGAGAGAGAGAGTGTGAAAGAGAGAGAGAGGATCACACACCAGCTACAGTGCAGTTTGCCAGTCAAGCACATACATTAGCTCACACTCAAACCTCTCCTTGGTTCCCCAGTCATTCCATGTATTTAATATATTCCAGATCTAGCACACCTGACTTAACTTAACTAATTATCAAGCCCTTGACTAGTTGAATCAGGTGGGGAGGCCTTCTCACAGTGCTTGATTTGATACATTTCCGTGACTTGACACACAGAAGATTCACCATCAACATAGATTTTACAATTGCTACTGTCTTGTGACTTTGGGGCTTAGTCGTTTTATTTTACCAATCTCGTTGCGTGGGGGCAGGTTCTGGTCCTCTTGGCTGGGGTACCTCTCCTTACGGTCCAACAGCAGGAAGTAGATCATCTTCTCCTGGTTATCTCTGCAGAGCAGATGAAAGATGACAAAGGGTGAGTGATCTGAGCAAGAATAGGGAGATCAGGTTGGTTGATACTACATTAACCAACACTAATAGTTTGTAGCTAATAGCAGCCAATAATCTCAGTGGAGCAACTGTCATTCCTTTAAAGACTTCATGCTCCATGACAGCTGAAAAAATAATTTGTATTACCTCATTAGACATCGACAAAATTATAAATTTTTAAACAAGCAAAAGTTATACCTTCTTCTTTTGAGAAGAACAGGATTGGAATAATGTTCAGTACCAACAACAACAACAACAACAACAAAAACCTTAAGCAAAAAAGACAAAAAAAGACAAAAAATTAATTAAAATTAAGATTGGTTTCTTTTATACATAGAAATAAATCCTGCATCCCTTTGGAAAGTAGAAGGAAGATTGTATAAGCAAAGTTTCTCCCAGAACTTGATTATGGTGATATACCGTAATCTACATGAATGCGGCAGCATTTGCTTTAAAACCTTTAGATTCAGTCTATCAGTCAGCACTGCATTTTACACTGGGGACATTTTTCACATACATCACTGCATTTTGTATATTTCTGTTGGCTGGGAGTCTCTGACTACCAGAAGGGCCAAGCATTGGCTACTATATAAAGTGGTTCTTCAGAGAGTCCCGCACTACCTCAGCTCATGTATTTACTGGAGATCCAGCAATTTTCAGACCTGTTCTCTGGACTGGCTGGTTTTGGAGGTCCCGCAGGTCTCCACTGACCTGGGGAAAAATTATTTTAGTTTTTATGCCCCCAGCTCATGGAATAGCCTTCAGGCCACTTTGAAATTAGACTCGGCGGTCTCCATTGGACAGTTTAGATCGCGTTTGAATTAATCTTATTTACTGTATGTTCATGTTCACAGGACTCCCTTGCAAATGAGACCCTGGTCTCAATGGTGACCCACCCTGTATAAATCAAAGTATATTTTATATATATATATATATATATATATATATATATATATATATATATATATATATATATATATATATATATATATATATATACTGTGTATTCGGAAAGTATTCAGACCCCTTGACTTTTTCCACATTTTGTTACGTTACAGCCTTATTATTAAATGGATTACATCTTTTTCCCCCCCTAGTTGTAGAAACATCTCAATGATGATCAATGGAAACAGGATTCACCTGAGCTCAATTTCGAGTCTCATAGCAAAGGGTCTGAATACTTATGTAAGTAAAGTATTTATGTTTTTTATTTTTATAAATTGCAAAAATGTCTAAAAACCTGTTTTCACTTTGTCATTATGGGGTATTGTGTGTAGATTGATTAGGAAAAACATGTATTTAATCAATTTTAGAATAAGGCTGTAATGTAACAAAATGTGGAAAAAGACAAGGGGTCTGAATACTTTCCGAATGCACTGTATATATCAAAATAACATTACAGCCACTCCAAGCTCATTACGTCCAAAGCATTCAACGCACATTGAGTTAATTCATCTGTCAATTTCATGTTTGTCCTTTTCAAACACAATTAACACATTGAAACAACTACAGCAATGACCATATAACAGTTAAATAAAAATAATCCGAAAATGTCTTGATTTAGGGGACTTTTTAGGCGATTCTGGACCGGTTCTGACTGACATTTTCATGTACAGAACGCTCTGTGAATGGTGCAACATCAAATGCTGTACACTCTGTGAAAGAGCTGGTTGTCCTGCTTCTACGTCCTGAGCTGAGATGGAGTGAAATCTAACTTCTCATTTGCATAGGGAGCGGCACGTGACATTTTCTGGCCTATCCAGACGAATGATCGTTTTCCTCTGGCTGTGAAACTCGGTGCCCCGCTCGCAATACGGCATGTAAAACAGAAGGGTCTAGGGAATGCAGCGATAGATGAAAACCTGCAACTTCAGCTAAAAGAGAAGAGAAGAATAAATGGAATTAAAGCTTCTGACTTTCTTTTGCTTTCAGACCTGGAGGAGGAGAGGAGAGATTGAAGACAGGAGAATAACGAGGAGATAGAGTAGAGAGATGATAAGAAGAGGAGAGTTAGAGGAGAGAGGGGAAATAAAGAAAGGGAAGAGTAAGGAAAGAGAGGAGAGGACGGAAGAAAGGGTGAGAAACGAAGGAGAGAGGGCAAATAAGAAAAGGGGAGAGAAAGGGCCCCGTGTAGCTCAGTTGGTAGAGCATGGCATTTGCAACGCCAGGGTTGTGGGTTCGATTCCCACGGGGGCCAGTATGAAAAATGTATGCACTCACTTAACTGTAAGTCGCTCTGGATAAGAGCGTCTGCTAAATGACTAAGAGAGATAACAGAAAACTGAAGAGCACTTAAAATCTGAAAATAGTCACAAATAGGGATGATGCATGGACCCTTCACAGCGAATCATAACTGAACCTTCAGAGACCCATACTGCAACCTTTACAGACCTTTAGGAAGGTCATAGGTAACACAATCTCAACACACAACCCCTTCCCTAAAGGCATCGTCGCTTTGCTTTATGTGTGACGCTCTTAAATGCTCCAACAGTGAGACAAACACACACTATACTCTCTATCACAAATGCATAAAGGTGAGCACATTCACACTATCTCTCTCTCTCCTGCGCCCACTCACACACACACAATCCCGACAGTGCAGAAACAATGTGACCCAGGAGCTTGTTAGACGGAGGTGTGAAGCAGGTGGTTTAAGCACCACTGCCAATGCTGTGTGATAACAGCAAAGTGATGTATGGCTGCTGACATCCAAAGCGACAGGTTCAAAGGATTTCATAAGAACCCAAGGACTCTGGAGCTTGTCCCCCTCTCCCCCCTCCCTTTCTCCCTCTCCTCCGCCTACCTTCCACAATGTTCACTCCCCCATTCACCAACCAATCGTTCTCTAAGCTTCTCTCCCCCGCTGTCCTTCCAATGTCTCCCCTCCCACAATTTCCTAATTTGTCATCCATCCCTCCCTCCTCCCTCCTCTCTCCCACCTCCATCCTTCCTCACTCCCTCTTCCCCATCCCTTCCATGCATCTCTCCCACCCTCCCTGCCCTCCTTCCTCCCTCCTTCACTACTCACTCGTCCGAGAGCAGGTCCTTCATCAGTTTGTTCTTGTCTCTGAAGCAGCCCAGAGAGTGCATGCTGTCCAGTACGTCCGGATCTATGTCGTCTGTAGAGGGCAGGCTCCGTATAGCCACCTTCCTGGGAACAGGCTGCTCTGGCTCGGGTTCATTCTTACCCCCTCTAAGGAAACAGCATAGAGGGAAGTGTTAGTATATTGGTGAGTTTCCCTGCTTGGTACGCGGGAGTCCAGGGTTCAATTCCCTGATGGGAAGGATGGTTGGTTGAACAGGAGTTCAACATAAGTAAAAAATATCATGGCTGCATCACATATGGCACCCTTCTCCTCTATTGTGCACTGCCTTTGACCAGAGCTGGTCAAAAATAAGTGTACTATATAGGGAATACAGTGCCATTTGGGATGCAACCCATACAATTGACATCAATAAGTGATTTACCTGAATAGAAATGGTAATGTGCAAAATGAATATTAGGAAAATATTGTAGGACTACGGTCACAACATTTCTGTAACTTTCCCAAAATTCCCAGGTTTTCCAAAAATCCCGGTTGGACTATTCCAAGTATGATATCGGAATCCTTTAACCTTTTCACATGTGAGTTTCAAATATCTCTAACGGTCCCCCAACGTGAATCTTTTTTATATACACTATCAGTCAAAAGCTTGGCAAACCTACTCATTGAAGGGGTTTTCTTTATTTTTACTATTTTTTACATTGTATAATAATAGTGAAGACATCAAAACTATGACATAACACATATGGAATCATGTAGTAACCAAAAAAGTGTTAAACAAATCAAAATATATGTTATATTTGAGATTCTTCAAATAGCCAACCTTTGCCTTGATGACAGCTTTGCACAATCTTGGCATTCTCTCAACCAGCTTCATGAGATAGTCACCTGGAATGCATTTTAATTAACAGGTGTGCCTTCTTAAAAGTTAATTTGTGGAATTTCTTTCCTTCTTAATGCGTTTGAGCCAATCATTTGTTTTGTGACAAGGTGGGGGGGTATATTTGGTAAAAGACCAAGTACATATTATGGCAAGAACAGCTCAATTATGCAACAGTCCATCATTAATTTTAAGACATGAAGGTCAGTCAATCAGGAAAATGTCAAGAACTTTGAACGTTGCTTCAAGTGCAATCGCAAAAACCATCAAGTGCTATGATGAAACTGGCTCTCATGAGGACCGCTACAGGAATGGAAGACCCAGAGTTACCTCTGCTGCAGAGGATAAGTTCATTAGAGTTACCAGCCTCTGAAATTGCAGCCCAAATAAATGCTTCACAGAGTTCAAGTCACAGACACATTTCAACTTCAACTATTCAGAGGGGACTGTGTGAATCAGGCCTTCATGGTTGATTGCTGAAAAGAAATCACTACTAAAGGACACCAATAATAAGAAGAGACCTGCTTGGGCCAAGAAACACGAGCAATGGACATTAGACAGGTGGAAATGTGTCCTTTGGTCTGGAGTCCAAATTGGGGATTTAGGTTCCAACCACCGTGTCTTTGTGAGACGCGGTGTGGGTGAAAGGATGATCTCTGAATGTGTAGTTCCCACCGTAAAGCATGGAGGACGAGGTGTTATGGTGTGGGGGTGCTTTGCTGGTGACACTGTCTGTGATTTCTTTAGAATTCAAGGCACACTTAACCAGCATGGCTACCACAGCATTCTGCAGCGATATGCCATCCCATCTGGTTTGGTCTTAGTGGGACTATCATTTGTTTTTCAACAGGACAAGGGCTATTTTACCAAGAAGGAGAGTGGATTGAGCGCTGCATCAGATGACCTGGCCTCCACAATCCCCCGACCTCAACCCAATTGAGATGGTTTGGGATGAGTCGGACGGCAGAGTGAAGAAAAAGCAGCCAACACGTGCTCAGCATTTGTGGAAACTCCTTCAAGACTGTTGGAAAAGCATTCCAGGTGAAGCTGGTTGAGAGAATGCCATAAAGGCAAAGGGTGGCTATTTGAAGAATCTCAAATATAAAGTATATTTTCATTTGTTTAACACTTCTTTGGTTACTGTATGATTCCATATGTGTTATTTTATAGTTTTGATGTCTTCACTATTATTCTACAATGTAGAAAATAGTCAATTAAAGAAAAACCCTGGAATGAGTAGGTGTGTCCAAACTTTTTACTGGTAAAGTACATTTTCATAGGTGCTTTAAAAATTGTAATTAATCATATTGTTATTTCTAATTTTGTATCTTTATCTTTTAAAATTAGAACTGGTTTAGCATGTATTCGCTTTGTGAGAGCTGCGAGATACAGTGAGGGAAAAACGTATTTGATCCCCTGCTGATTTTGTATGTTTGCCCACTGACAAAGAAATGATCAGTCTATAATTTTAATTGTACGTTTATTTCAACAGTGAGAGACAGAATAACAACAAAGAAATTCAGAAAAACGCATATCAAAAATGTTATAAGTTCATTTGCATTTGAATGAGGGAAATAAGTATTTGTCTCCCTCTCAATCAGAAAGATTTCTGGCTCCCAGGTGTCTTTTATATAGGGTAACGAGCTGAGATTAGGAGCACACTCTTAAAGGGAGTGCTCCTAATCTCAGTTTGTTACCTGTATAAAAGACACCTGTCCACAGAAGCAATCAATCAATCAGATTCCAAACTCTCCACCATGGCCAAGACCAAAGAGCTCTCCAAGGATGTCAGGGACAAGATTGTAGACCTACACAAGGCTGGAATGGGCTACAAGACCATCGCCAAGCAGCTTGGTGAGAAGGTGACAACAGTTGGTGGGATTATTCGCAAATGGAAGAAACACGAAAGAACTGTCAATCTCCCTCGGCCTGGGGCTCCATGCAAGATCTCACCTCGTGGAGTTGCAATGATCATGAGAACGGTTAGGAATCAGCGCATAACTACATGGGAGGATCTTGTCAATGATCTCAAGGCAGCTGGGACCATAGTCACCAAGAAAACAATTGATAACACACTACGCCGTGAAGGACTGAAATCCTGCAGCGCCCGCAAGGTCCCCCTGCTCAAGAAAACACATATACAGGGCCGTCTGAAGTTTGCCAATGAACATCTGAATGATTCAGAGGAGAACTGGGTGAAAGTGTTGTGGTCAGATGAGACCAAAATCAAGCTCTTTGGCATCAACTCAACTCGCCGTGTTTGGAGGAGGAGGAATGCAGCCTATGACCCCAAGAACACCAACCCCACCGTCAAACATGAAGGTTGAAACATTATGCTTTGGGCGTGTTTTTCTGCTAAGGGGACAGGACAACTTCACCGCATCAAAGGGACGATGGACGGGGCCATGTACTGTCATATCTTGGGTGAGAACCTCCTTCCCTCAGCCAGGGCATTGAAAATGGGTCGTGGATGGGTATTCCAGCATGACAATGACCCAAAACACATGGCCAAGGCAACAAAGGAGTGGCTCAAGAAGAAGCACATTAAGGTCCTGGAGTGGCCTAGCCAGTCTCCAGACCTTAATCTCATAGAAAATCTGTGGAGGGAGCTCAAGGTTCGAGTTGCCAAACGTCAGCCTCGAAACCTTAATGACTTGGAGAAAATCTGCAAAGAGGAGTGGAGCAAAATCCCTCCTGAGATGTGTGCAAACCTGGTGGCCAACTACAAGAAAAGTCTGACCTCTGTGATTGCCAACAAGGGTTTTGCCACCAAGTACTAAGTCATGTTTTGCAGAGGGGTCAAATACTTATTTCCCTCATTAAAATGCAATTCAATTTATAACATTTTTGACATGCGTTTTTCTGGATTTTTTTGTTGTTATTCTGTCTCTCACTGTTCAAATAAACCTACCATTAAAATTAGAGACTGATCATGTCTTTGTCAGTGGGCAAACGTACAAAATCAGCAGGGGATCAAATACTTTTGTCCCTCACTGTACGTAGTTACCAGTTTTATTTGCAATTAAGTAGTATGCTTTATTTGAGTTTAACCTTTAGTTGTTGGCTCTCTTCAAAAGTAAAATGTTCTATTCGTGCCTAAGTTCAGAACTTTAATTTTCTTCTTATCTTGTTCATATTTTTAATGGGCTTTTTCTAAGATAGTGATTTATTTTTCTTTATCATATTTTGCTTTTGCCGAGTATAAGATGATCATCCCCCTAATGTACGCCTTAAAGGCATCCCCAATTATATTGGGGGTCGGCTTTTCTCTGTCCTCTACACTGAGTGTACAAAACACCACCACCCCCCCACCCACCTTCGGGTAGTAGACCATTCTTGATACACAAGGGAAACTGTTGAGCGTTAACAAAATAGCAGCGTTGCAGTTCTTGACACAAACTGGTGCGCCTGGCACCTACTACCATACTCCGCTCAAAGGCACTTAAATATTTTGTCTTACCCATTCACCCTCTGAATGGCACACATACAGTACACAATCCATGTCTCAATTGTCTCAAGGCTTAAAACCTGTCTCCACTTCATCTACACTGATTGAATTGGATTTATCAAGTGACATCAATAAGGGATCATAGCTTTCACCTGGATTCATGGAAAGAGCAGGTGTTCTTAATGTTTTGTATACTCAGTGTATGTCTACATTTGTAATAATAATATAAAACATAATATGCCATTTAGCAGACGCTTTTATCCAAAGCGACTTACAGTCATGCGTGCATACATTTTTGTGTATGGGTGGTCCCGGGGATCGAACCCACTACCTTGGCGTTACAAGCGCCGTGCTCTACCAGCTGAGCTACAGAGGAGGTTTAAATTTTTTCGTTTACATATTTAATAAATTCCAGGTCCAGAAGATGTGCTCTGTTCATTCTCCAAACCCTGTCACTTTGTTCATTTTTTATTGGTGTAATTAAACATGATACCGGAGAATGATCCGAAACAATTATGTCTGTTAAAATATGAGGACCGAGTGGATATTCTGCCCCATCGCATGAATACCCATCTTAACTAATTAGATGGACACAACTAATGCTAAGCTAACTAGCTAACGTCACTCATGTGTATTTGTTATTCAGCGACATAATTTAGTTAATTTGGTATGAGAGGCCTGGTGGATTTGTTAACTTGGCTGTTGGCCTTCTGGTTATATTGCTAAGATGCAGCTGGCTGGCACGTG